ATTTATATATATATATATATATATATATATATATATATATATATGTATGTATGTATGGATTATTGTTAGTATTACCAACTTTTGTGTAAGTTTGTCTTAATATATATATTTGCCAAAGTAACAAAAGTTTGAGTTATTATTAACCAAGACATGCTCTTAAGTAAGACCTTATTTTGTCCTCCTTATAATACGTGTTCGGTGTTTCTACTTTTTATGTCATCATTAAAAAAAAAAATTTAAAAGGAAAACTTAAATAAAAGGCCCATTCTTCAAAATCCAGTTCCTTGATATGCTGATCCGTTTTATTCTTAAGTGGTTTGGGCTAGGTTCAGTATTTCGTTTTTTATGCGCAATTGGGCTCATCAATCTCATTAGTTTTTTCATTTGCAAAATCGTAAATATTCGACCATCAAAATTTAACTAAAAATATATAAAAATATTAGTTAATATATATATAAAGAAGAAGTTTCAAAATTGTCTATGTATGCTAATAAGTGTTTTATTACTAATTCAAAACAATAGCAATAAATTATATTATGATAAAAATATTTTACAAATGTAGTAAACTCACTAGAGTCAAGCCTTTAGATAGAGCAAAAGTTCAATTAGATGTAATATTTTCTTGACACTAAATGTTTTTGTAATGCAAGTTGTAAGACTCATTCCAAAAACAAAATGTTTTTTATTCTAAGAAAATTAAATCAAGTTATCTAAGAGATGTATATTACTTCTAAGTTGCTGTAATATTAAATCTGAATCACTGATGGGATATTATGGTCAAATGTTGACTAACCTTTTTGCTTGAAAAGTATTCGGGCTTATTGCTATTAATTCATTTTCAAGAAAAATTACTTTAGCTTCTTAAGATTTTTTTTAAAATATTAAATAAACTGAAATAGATATGTGCTTAAATAAACGTCTATGTTCATCCTGTGTTGCATCACTTACATGTGGAAAGGGAGAAAAATAAAACACAAATTTGTTTACGGCAAAGAGGAAGGAGACAAGTAAGTAGTCAACTACTTAGGTTGGCGGCATTTTCTGCGGTGGCTGCTGTACAAAATGTCTCGAGAGAAAAGAGAGAAAGAAAAAGTGGAAAAGAAAAAACTTTTTGCAAACTCTTTCAATATTTTATAGAATTGGACTACATTGAACAAAGATGGTCATCACCCTAATGCGAAATTAATTTAATTTAATTAATAATTTTGAAATGAAACTTATGTATACAATCGTATTAAATCTATAAAAAATAACTTTATCATTTGTAATAATTATGCTTATAAAAGAAAAGAAAAAAAGATTAGATTTTCATTTTCATTTTCTATAATTAGTTAATAGATTTAAAATTAGAAAGAGATAAAAAAAAATAATGTAAGCGATTACGACACCCGTGGAATAGTAGATGTTAATATTCCTATAATGATCCTTAAATAATAACTCATAACTTTTTTTTTTAAATGGTCTTTTCCATAAGAACATATGAGATTTATTATATTAATACTACAGCTAGTACAGAAGTTAGGAAAATCTTATCCTGAAAAATTTACTATATTAATTTTTTTTCTATACCACATTTAATTTTCTGTAAAAGATATTTTTGTTGAAATGAAGAATATTCACAGATAATGAAGTTAATTCTTTCAGGGAAACAAAACTTAAAGGTTTATATCTGTTTTTTTTTTAAGAAAATAAACATGTATGAGTAACACATACCAGGAGAGTTTATTAGTTCAATCAGTTGAGAAATATATATGAATTGTTGTAGCCTTCGATACTAAATTTGATTCTCATAGATTAAAAAAATAAACAATATATGTTGATTGTATTCTATGTTTCAAGGATTTAATTCTTCTAAAATAACTCAAAATAACTAAATAAACTAGTTATATTAATGAAAAAATCAATGATTAATATTTTAACATGTTATGTATTTATTTGAAATATCGATAATTAATTTTCAGTAGCTAATTTATTTTCCATATACAAACAATGGCAATACCTAAACATCTCACCACTATATTAAATATAGTGGATTTCAATATCAAAATTTTGACACGATGGATGTTTTGTTAGAATGAGGTTGTCGGTTTTTAAATAAATCGAATATTTCGTCAGCCGTCACCAAGACAAATTTTTTATTTACTTTAAAAAAAAAATACACCACTATATTTTTTAATACAATCATTGTCACGATTCACGACATAATTTTTGTTCAAACTTTTGTTACCAAATAATATTTTATTTTACTACTGAAATTTGTGCTATAGATCACACTATATAAACCCTACAATAAGAGGTGAAGCTTTGGAAAACATAAGCAAGTATGACAGAGGTGAAACTACATGGATTCTGGTATAGTCCTATGACTTTGAGAGTGGTATTGACTCTAAAGTTAAAGGATATACCGTATCACAATATAGAAGAAGATCGTTTTAATAAGAGTCTTGAACTTCTTCGATACAACCCGGTGTACAAGAGAACTCCGGTATTTGTTCATAATGGAAGACCTTTATGTGAATCCATGCTTATTATTGAATACATTGATGAAATTTGGCCACATAATTCATTGGTTCCTGCTGATCCCTATGAGAGAGCTCTTGCACGATTTTGGGCTAAATATGCTGATGATTTGGTAATATTCAATTTACCTTAATTTTAGAAATAATTAAATTAAGCATAACATGTTATATTTTCTCATTAATTACTTTCTATGCTTTAACATTTCTAGTATCTTGATCAAAGCGACAATAATATTTTGGGTCAACCTTTAAAGTTTTCTGCAGTTGTGGCCTTCTACCTTGGCAATAATGGTGAAGAGAAGGAGGCAAACATAGAGAAGGTATGGGAGCATATCATGGTTGTTGAGAATAAGTGTTTTGGTGATCAAAAGAAATTCTTCGGGGGAGACAATATTAACATGGTGGACTTGGCTTTTGGGCCCATAGTCAAAACTATTTTTACTATAGAAGATATTCTTGAAGTGAAGGTCCTGAAAGATGAGAAATTTCCTCACTTCCTTTCATGGTATAATAATTTTAAGGAAGTTCCGATTATTAAAGAAAACCTCCCAGAGCACGAGAAAATGGTGGCTTGTCTCAAGTTTATTAGAGAAAAACGTTTGGCATCTTCCTAAGAAAATAGCAACTTATTTATAAGATCAAGGTGCATCTTTTCTGAATTCTGTTTGGATTTGTCTTGATATAGCTGTGAAAGTAATAAAAGTTTAAGGTGATTAATGTATTTGCTTTGATATTAAGTCAAACTTCCGATTATCAAATAGGTTGCTTCTTGCAATTGAATTAGTTGACTGACTCGTATTTGCACAAGTACCATAAATATTCGCGACTTTGAATTAAAGCAAAAAAAGAAAAAACAAATCAATTTAAGAAACTATTATAAAATGAAGGATGGACATAAAATAATCAATTGCTAGCGAATAGTGACGGTAGCTACTGAATACCATCACATACGACACCAATTCCATGGTCCACACCTAATGAATTTTCAAATACCAGAACACATTTTTCCACAAAGTCAGATGGGATTAAATGTACACTATACAATGTATGTATAGAAATTAGAAAACCTTATTCTAAAAAATTATGCTACATAAAATATACAATAGCTATTCTTTTAAAACAATATTAACTATATTTTTTAATAGAATTTGATTATCAGTCTTCAAACAAATTATATTTTTTTTGCTCATAAAGACAAGATAGAAAAGGAGTAAGGAGAAACTAAATTTTACTGAATAATCAACCTCTTGAAATACTCTGAATAGAAGCCGAACATACCTCACTGTTCCCTGTCAATTCCTCGAAGTGCGTAATTACGTCTTCAAGTTGAGAAAACTGTATCAAATATTTTGTATGCAGTTCAGTGGTATCAAAATGATTAAGTTGCCACTGGGAAAGACCGTCACTAATAATCTTTAAACCGCTTTTCAGCAATTCCACTCCTCTACTAATTCCATCAGGAAGTTTCCTTTTTTTATTTGATTGGTTTTTGTGATCAACTTCCATGATCTCACATCTCTCTCTCTCTTCAGCAATGGCTGGAATCTTTCGAACCATTTGTTTCAACACAAGACCTTCTCTCCCTAGCAGCTCAAGCTGTTCAGGGCTTGGTGCAACTGTAAGAAGAGCTATTTCCTTTTTAAGAAATTTTCCAAACTCAGCCATAAATGTTTCCTTAGTTACCTCCACTCCTGAAACTATATCATATGAAAGGGCTGCATCCTGTGGAACAAATCTCCATAACTGATTGCAGCTAGTACCAGCAGCAAAACATGCAAATGCGGTTATTGCCAAATGAATGAGTGCCCAGTGCCGCTCTTTCAAGAGCAAGTGATACAATTCCCACACAGCACAGCTCTTAGCATCATCATCACTTTCTGAAATTTCCATGTGTACAAGTCCTGCCAGGAATTGAGCCAAATGTGGTTTGCATTTGTACAAAAGGGCTGGAGGCTCAGACAAAAAGATATTTTCAATCTGTGTGATGGCTTGTTCGATATCAGTTGATTTATACACATGTTCCAAATATGAGGTGATCCCTAGAGTTTCACTGAAGAGCTGAAGAAGATGATCCTTGATTACTCTGTCTACAGTACTTTTGTAATTAGAAGAAATTGCAACCAAAAACTTAAAGGTCCTTGTATCAATATCAGATGGTCCCTCCTCAGTGCGGGGAAGACTAGTCTTAGAGCTGGCACCAATATAGTATTCCGGTTCAGTGAAAGGATAAAAGGAATTAAGTTGAAATAAAGGAAAATAAAGTCCATAGGTAAAACATTCAGATCAATTGAAACATGCATGTGAGAGATCAAACTCAAATCTGATTTTTGCTTCGAATATTTAAGGAGTCTTTGATATGAAGACAGAATAAATTGTCCAGAACTAACCAAAATCCTTTTATGTACATGTCCATATGTGTTGTTCTGTATGCACACCATACAATTAACAATGAGACAATAACACAAATTAATGGCAAAAATGGTATGAATGTTATGCTTTTAATGAAGGTTATACGTCATATATTCAATTTTGACTTATAATAATCCAAAAATTGATGAAATGTAACAGAACCGAAATACTTACAGTGATTGCAAAGAAGCAGAAAGAATAAAAACTGGAACACCAAACAAACCAGAGGAGCATGCAACCAATGATGCTTTATCAAAGTTGTCTATGAAGTCAAAATAATCAGACAAGATTTTTTTGATGGAATTTTTTTTGAACTCATCTGTTAGTAAATCAAGTGAAAAACCTTCTATGAACAGAGCCAAACAAAAAATTGATGACAACTGCGATCTCCCATCACCAACAAGAGACATGTACACCTCGTTAACCATTGATTGTGAAACACAGTTTAAAAGCATGCATATTGATCTTGCCAACTTTCTGAAGGAAGAACAAGGCAGGAAAACTGAGTCTGAGGATGCCAGCAGCTTAAGTAATGAACATAGTTTGCTAAGGATGTTGTTTGCCATTTGTGTTTCAGCATGTCGGAGCATAAAGCACCAACATTCCATCACAATCTCCCAGCATAGAACGTGAGGATGAAAGAAATTCTCTAGTAAGAAAGACTCCAAACCCTCCCAGGCTGTGCTCGAAGAGATCACAATCATGAAGGTTTTGAATGCTTGCAAGAGGGAAGTAAACATAGGATTCCACACCAGTTCTGCTGTTTTTCCAGAGCCATACAATAAAGGAAATCGTAAAACAAGTATGTGAGAATAGACATCTTCCTCAACTAAAATATCCAAAAACCAATGGAGCTTCTGAGTAATTGCTACTTTCACATCTTCATCAAGCCCGAGAGAATATCTGAGGAAGTTAATAAAAAGTACAACCCGACCAAGCATTAGTATTTTTGTTCTGTTCATACTTTCACAACTATTGCAAAAGATATCATTGACCCATGCAAGATTACAATCACTAAAGGTTGCACAATCGAGGTCAGAATGAGAATCCCCTTTATTAATGAACAACCATTCTAGCACCTCAAGCTTCTGTTCCAGTTTCAGTTCATGAGAATTTAGCAAAGATAATAGCAGATCCAATGTTGTTTCCTCCAATAATTCGGTAATTATCACAGAAGCACAATTCAGAAGATTTTCATTGCTTACAAAAATCCAAAAGCATGTGATTTTGAGAACACACAGTGCAATTTCCTTGTACACTGTATAGGCCTGATGAGGATACAGTGAGCATATTTTAACAGCATTAATTAGGTAAAATTTCACCGGGACGAAGATCCTTTTAGCTTCAGTTACAGAAATGGCTTCATTCAGTGATGAAGACCAAACCTGGGCAGCACATTTCAGAGGCTCCAATATCAATTCAAGCAAAGTTAACACTATATTTGCTACGTTCACTTCTGTAAAATGTCCACCACCAATTTGAAGCAAAGAAACAACACCTTTCCAGGAGACATTAAGAATATTGACAAAATTGCCACCTTCATTTGCAGCAACGACACCAATATCAGACAGCTTTTCTATTGCACATTTTGTTATGTTGATAACATGGTCGACAGTGGTAGGCTTGTCAAGCCTCAACCATTTTTCATCACTGCCCTCCCAGTTTGCTAATTCAGAACGAGCCTTGCACAATTTTACCACAGCATCAATGACCATGTGTGCAACCTTCAATATTTCAGATCCAAATGATTGAAGTTTCTGCTTAGGGGCATAAAAGAGCTATGCTTAGTGTTGAAAGAAAGAAATGCATGTGCAAGAGAGGCTAAAACCGTGAGTCTTGACTACACAGTGGAATCCATTTTATATAGGTTTAATGCAACAAATGAAAATAAAAATTGGAAATAATATTCCCATTTACATGATTTGATACACCTATGAACACAAAGATCCTAATTAACTAAGAAAAAAAACTATAAAATAAAAAATAAATCCTAACATATCATCTAGAATACTCTAAAATAGTCTAATATAAAATGTTCCCACATTGTCAAGCTTTTTTTAGAGAGGAACATATTACCTTAGCATCTGATATAGAATCTTTAGTTAGACTTAATGCTTCTGAAATGAAGATTTCAACAATGTCCAGTGATTCCTTGTCACGAAAATCAGAGGATTTCAACAAATTTGAAAATGTTGATGCAGAAAACCTTAGGATCTCCAGTAGAAGCTGCACAACATGAAAATAACCAAGTAAAAATTGATGTCACTAGGAAAATTATCAAATGAATGTTCCGATCCAAGAAGGCTGAAACCAAGCAATTCCTTCAAGAGCTTTAAAATCAAAAGTCTTGTGCTTTTTATTAAGATCAACCACATTTTCTATCACCACCATTATATAACCAATACCACATAAGAAAAGAATCTGTCAACACATTGGAGTTTGGATTGTTCAATTCATATTCAAGGGGATTCAGAATATTGGAAAAGTGACATGTGAAGGGTGCTATGTTTGTAGACTGTAGCTGAGCATTGCATTTGTCCAGCAAAATAATAATAATAATAATAATAATAGTAATAGTAAAAGCTTTCATCGGGAAAACTCATGAAATATATCTTTTAGGATTTCTGCTAATAATTTACTTTCCCATGCTCTGTGCTTATCAGGAAAACTCATGAAATATATCTTTTAGGATTTCTGCTAATAATTTACTTTCCCATGCTATGTGCTTTTATCAGCACATGCTAGGCCAGCTACTCAATATTTCATCAATAATGACAACCAGTGAGTAGTGAACAGTGATTGAAAATTGAGTTGAGACTACTCAGGTTTTCCTCTCACTGTTTTTCTGTTGTCCTTCATTGTCCAATGTTACTTCAGATAACTAATCCTCTTGAGCATGTTGCTATATTGCATGGCCAGAAAAAAAATATACCAAAAAAGAAATAGAGAAACATAATACAAATATTATCTCTTATTTCCCTGCTTAGATAAAAAAAAACTCGCATTCAATTATATTTGTCCAGCAAAGGCATCTCTTGAATATCTACTTTTCATGGTTTTGGGGAAATAACAATATATACTATTATTGAGTGATAGAGAGAGAGAAAAGAGAAACAGAAAATTTGTAAAATGTGTAGCTGATTCTCATTATTTGACAGTGGAGCAAAGCGACTTTTTTATAGAATAGAGACACCTATAACAAACTAACCACCCAAGAGTCAGTTTTATAACTGCTCTTTTTACAGTTCACTCACAAATATTAAAGATATAAAAAACGAATCTGCAAGAATTACTTATACTGCTAGTAAAGGAGAGATCAAATCCAAAATACTAATCAAGAGGAAAATATACAGAACGATATAGAGGAACTATTAAAAACATACAGCCAAGTAAGAAACATGTTCTTTTTAGTAAAGGTAAAATGCTTTTGAAGGATTATTTGATAGTTCGGTCTATGACAAAGAACTACTACCTGGTAAAATACATTGCTATGTTCATCTTCCTGAGATTCTTCTGTTGACAAGAGGCTCATCTTTAGATGCTTGCCACACCAGACACAGGCCTAACAGAGAAATTGTGATACAAGAAAATACATATCTTAGGAGATGTATAAGTTTTAAAGGATTAGGAAATAAACGGTACGGATAAAGAGAAAGCAAAAGAAGAGACAAGAGATACCTTGGCTCCAAGAGTGAGAATTTGTGGTAAGCAACTTGATAGGTTAAAATCTATATACCTCAAAGCTACTTGCATAATGCTTCTATTTAGCATGCACTGGGTCACATCCAAACATGTGAAGTTCTCCCAAAAAGTCAAGCTTGCTGTTAAGGCGGAAGCAATGAAGCAGACAAGTAATACTGTAATAGAGTTCCAAAATAGCATAAGAGTATGATGATAGATAAGGTCGTGAAGTTTCTTTATCAAGTTATCCGGCTCTTCCTTATTCTTAAATTCAAACAACAATTAATGTAAGGTTTATGCATATTTCTTGAATTGCCGTGAATCTTAAATTTTCAAACATGAGCGATAATGAAAATCATTAAAATTCTAAGTAAGCACTTATAAGAGAAATTTTTTAAAAAAATATATGAAAATGAAATAAACTTCTCCAAAAAGCTAAAACTAATATATACACTCCTAAAAGTTCTCTCAAACTAACTTACCTAAAATTTAACATGCGCAGAAATTAATATTAACTTGGTGGAAAAATTCATTTCGCTTTTTCTTCTTATTTTCATCTTCTAGTAGTTCTTATGAAAAAATTTCTCCAAACATCTCCAAAAATAATAAGGAATCTAACTAGTAAACATGCTACGAGTTAATTTATTAGAAAGTTCCAACGGAGTTTGCACGAGTTTTGAATTAACAAGCATGGATTAGGGGATTGGGGAAAAAAATCAAACAAGGATACTACGAGGCAGTTAATGACGGAAACATGATCGGACTCGGACACATTCTTCAAGTCTATGCGTCCGAGATCGGTAAACAACTGAACGCGTTCCTCGACAACCTATACATAAAACCCTAAAATCTGAGTATACAGTGACAGAGTATTGTATGCAAGTAGAAACAGAGATAATAAGAAGGAGAAGAAGCTTGCCTCGGAGGATTTAATGGCTACGATTATTCTATGGATATCGGTGTTGAAGCTACCTTCCACCATTTTTCTCACACTGCAACAAACTCACTCTCTCTCTTCTCTTTTCTGTGTTCTATTTTTCGGATTTTCATATATCCATTTTCGACTCTGTGTTGTTTTGTTTGGCTTGCAGCTTTTCCCGCCAATGCTAAACTAAAGCGACTTGCGAGCGATTATTTTCTTTTCTGGTTTCCCCCTGCTCCCAGCACTTTTTACCTTCTTATTTTTACTATTAGGTCATTAAAAATTAAAATTAAAATTAAAATTATATAATAAAATATATATTGATTTAATTTCTTTAATTATTTTGAGTTTGATAAAAAATATTAATTTTTTAATAATAAAAAATATAATAATTTATTAATGTGGTTTATATATTAATTTAAATTTTTCGTTACTAACAATTTAATGAAACTTCATGTCCTTACAAGCTTTTTCATTTTTATATTAGTTGAAAAGTTACTCGATTGTAGTTATTTTTCACAAGCATTTTTAGGCTATTTTCTTTACTAACCGGAAATTTATTTGATTTTATTAATTGTATTTGGTAAACCAGCTTTTTTTAGTAGCTAGTGGCATTTGTTATACATTATCTCAAATTTTTTTAGAAATTATAATTTCTAAGTTTTTATATTTTATTTTACTTTTGTTTTTAAATATTTGTTAAAATTTCTTTTAATTTATGTATATAGGTAGGGCTTAATTTATTTCTCTCTTTTTTTCTTTCTCTTCTTATTAACAAGAAAAGGAATTTATTTTGCTTTTGCCATTTTTTCTATTTAATATTATATTACTTATTCAGTCAAAAAAATATTATATTGTTTATTTTAACCATTATAGTATTTATAATATTTATCTTATTATTTTAATATTATACTTTAAGATATTGATAATGATGATAAGTTTACTTTATTTCTTATATTATTTTATGAATATATTTTTAGATTACATCATTGCACTATTTATTTAGTCATTATATTATTTACATTTTTTTTTCTGTTATCAGATAAAAACCTTTGAAATTACTCTTTCTATTGCCATAATTTTTTTTTAGTTTTTATTTTTTCTTCTTTCACTTTTTAAAACTACTCTTTTGCAACTACTTAAATATTGTTCATTGTTCACCCTCTTATTATTAACTGTTTATTTTAAAAAAGTTAAAAATATATAAAAATATTATTAAAAAATTTGCGCTAATTATTATTAACATAATGAAAATAAGATGTCTACTTAGACATATGCTTATTTTTATTCTATTTTAAAGTCGATTGGGGACATTTTAAAATATAAAATAAAAGGAATAGCATAATACATGTACACGTTATACCTTGTGAAAAAATATAACGACTGAAACTAAAATAAATAATTTAAATCAAAATTAAAGAGATTAAAATTATTTAAAAACTAAAACTAAAATATGTCGAAAAATATATTTTTCTCAATAAAATAATTTTAATTTTTATATAAAAATGTCATATAAACATGTTTATTTGTCATTTTATATTTATTGATTTTTTCGACTGTAACGACCCAGCTGGTCACTACACACTGCACAGCACACTAGAAACACCACACAGAAATGAACAAGTGTATACATATAGGCTCTATAATATATACATATACAAATTCCAAATTTGGATAGAGTTAAAGTGTTCAAAATACAACAAAAGCCACTACACCGAGTAGCTAAACACAAAACATCTAACAGCTCAGCTCCGCCTTCCAGCTGAAGACTCACCACAGCCACCAACCTATCTCTGCTCTGCTCCCATACACAGTATGATCATTATAGTCCAAACATAATGGAGACAACAAAGGGTAAGCTAGTGAAAAGAATTCAACATACATATACAGCAATCTGATAGTAAACAGCTACAGCTTATACTACACCACAGCATTCAACAATATCAGCACCCGCAAAGCGGCAATATCAGCATTGCTTAGCAGCAATAACAACACCACTCAAGTGGCTATAACAGCACCACGTAGCGGCAATAACAACACTGACTTAGCGGTTATAACAGCACCACAATAGTGGCTAATAACAGCACCGACATAGCGGCTTGAACAGTACCACAAAGTGGCAAATGATCAACATACAGCTCAGCTAACACAGCTCACAACACAACACAACATATCAGCATACAGCACAGCCAAGTAGTATTCAACACAGCTTACTACTCACAACTCAACTTATCATTCTATAGCATAGCAATACTATAATTCAGCATTTTAACATCATCAATCACAGCCCAGCTCAGCACAGCAATATACATCTTATTACAGCTTAACAACATTCTTCAGCATTATCATCTAGTCAGCATAGCATATTCATCAATTTTAGCTTAGTTCAGCATTAAACAACATTTATCTATGATTTCAGCAAAATTTAACAACTATCAGCATATAAATCATCATCATCATACGCGCCCGGCACACTCATGGTCGCGCCCGGCGTGGCACAACCAGAGAGCACCAGGGGCCATCGCGCCCGGCGCAAGAGTACTCACGCCCAGCGTGACCCAACCAGAGAGCCCAAGGCTCTCACGCGCCTGGCACAATTCAGCTTTGCGCCCAGCGCATGCCCAGGCAGAGACTCCAGGGGGTCTCACGCGCCCAGCGTGGCCTAACCCGCGTCCAGCGTGGGCAAGACATAAATTTACTAAGGCCTCGCGCCCAGCGCAATTCTAATTGCGCCCGGCGCCCTCCTGGCAGATACTCCTAAGGAGTCTCCGCGCCCAACTAGACTAAACACGCGCCTAGCGCAGTGCCAGAAACCTTAAAACATGTTACAACCGATATCGCGCCCGGCGCAGTTCAAGTCAGGCTCGGCGTGGGCCATCCAGAGGCTCACATTTTCAAGCTCGCCCAACGCACACACCTTTGCGCCCGGCGGGCTTGCCTAAATGAAGCCCCTAAAGGTCACGCGCCCCGGCACAAAGAACAGTGCCCAGCGCGAAGCTCAGCAGCAACTTCCTCAAGTTCGAAAATTTTGACGAAAACCTACAAAAATTACCAGAAAATCCATATGCAAACGGTTCAAAGTATCACATTTTCAGCAAACATCAAGAAAAACACCTCATTTTCAACATGCAACTACAAATCCAAGAAAACCCCAAATTTCTCCAAAAACTCCGAAAACCCCTAAAACCCCATTTTCACCAAATTAGCCAAGAACCATCAATCATCAGCAATCACAATGAGTCCCTAGACCCATTTTTAGCCAAAACGCAGCAAAAATCTAACTTCCCTTACCTCGGTTCAAGAATCCGAGCTCCAGGACGAAGAAGACGAAAAATAAAATGGAAACAAGCTAAAATGGAGATCAACGGGGATGGAGAACTTCAGCTAGCCTCCCACTACAAATCAACACCTTCAACCAAGGTCCCCCACAAGAATCAGCAAGTTAAAAAAAATGGGGAAAGGAGTAGAGAGAAATGAGTGAGAATCCGAAAAAAAGAAAAGGAAAAAAGAAAGGACCTCACATTCACAAATAATTTTATCAAACAATTGCAATTCAATAAGTTAAAGTAAAATTTTGAGCTAACTTTTTAACTTTAAATTAGTTTTGTCAAAAATGACTTATAATAAGTTTATAGTAAATTTTCTTTGAGAAAAAAGCATATGCGATATTTTAATTTCACATTTGATGGTACAATTAATGTAATCAATTAAATAGTATGTTGTCAATGCATTTATAGATAAATGTGTTTTTTCCATCATAGTTTAGGCACAATCACACAAGGTATTTATAGATTTTATCTGTAACTAACATTTGTCACATATCTTAGTTGATTATTTTTAGTAAAGTATTTTTTTTTATCCAGAAGACTTAACATGATCTGTAACATTTTATAACATATTGTTTCAAATAACATTTTAGCTTTTATTTTCTCATAGTTGTTATTTTTTATTCTTAAACTCTATTAATTTTTGTGACCTTTTTTAACATAAAATAGAGTTTTTTATTCTATTTTAAATGTCACAACGACAGAACCCATTTTAAGGCTATGAATGGGCCAATGCTAACAACTCAAATGACCTTTGGCTTGGAAAATCTACAAATCTCATTGAATAAAATTGATAGAATTTCTTTGTATCTTCAACATCTCAAAGCTAATAATCACATGACAAGCACTCAGTGTAGGTAGATAAGATTCATCAAACTAAGTTAATAACTTCCATGAGTTATCAAAACAAATATATTAAACTATAACATATTAAGCCCAATGAATTGTATGCAATGAAAATTCACTCTTATTTCAATAATTAAAATTTACACTATATGGAGTAAAATCAAATACTAGTCATCACATAAAAGGATTATCAAAGAATGACATTTACTATATCATCAGTAAAATTATCTAATATAATCACCAATTTAAAAAAAAAAATTCAATTAAATTATAAACGTGAGTTCATTCATAATATAATTTTGCATATAATATAAAATAAATCTTAACTACTAAAAACAAAATAATTTAATCAATTATATCACTCTCATTATCACAAGACTGTAAATATAGAATTACCTAAATCCTAATCAACAATCTCTTAAAATTTTGCCATATAAAAGAGCATGATGACATGGACTAGGCAGAGGAGGAAAGAATTTGGAATGTTATGAGATGAAAGTTGGGAGAGTAGCCCCTCGTTTTGGTGCACTCTGTCTCTGTCCATATTCTTACTGCGCTATTTTAAGCAAATACTGTCCTCCGACATCTTCGTTGGGAACTCCGAGCCTCATGGAACGTTTTCCTCTTCCTCTCTCCTCTCAAACAAACTTTCTCTCCCCTCTCAACATAAACCAAACTCCAACTCCCTTTTTTCTCTTTTGGGTTCCTCCAACCCTACCCCAAAACCTTGCATTCCCCGTTCAACATTCTTCAAACCTCTTTTCTTCACTACATGGACAAACAAAAAGGTACCCATTTTGCAAAATCATTCTTTTATTATAATTCTGCAACACTTTTTTTTTTATTTTCTTCTTCCTTTTGTTTGAAATAAAAAAAATGGTTAATGGGTTACTTTGTATTTTGTTGTTCCTGTGCCTACCGTTGCAGGGTTGAAATTCTTAAGTTCCTTTATGGAACTAGGATGCAGGCATGTATACAAGAAATAGTATGTGATCATGGTGATATCAATGGCGGTGGAGAACATTCCTGTTCTTTGAATGATTGTTAATGGAAGGATTGTGTAGAATACCCTGAAAATTTGTTGGTTCTCCATCATAAGTATACAAGTTTCTGTGCCGACTTTAATTGTTCTCCATCATAATTGTTTTTCTGAATATGTGGTTAAGACAGGGGTCGATGTCATATGAGAAATTGTGAACTCTTTTGTGTTAGATAAGTTGTTTGCTGGAATATTAAGGATAGAGGATTTATCTATTTGACTTTGTGTTTCGAAGTTAAACGTGGATAGATGTCGAGAATTCAATGCTCTAGTGCAAAAAGTGGTTATATGAAACTAACTATATGATCATTCACCATGAACAATGAGGGTCCCGGCATTTCAGGCAAGCATTATATAGATGCATTGAGTGTTGGTTTTAGTGACAAAATCTCTTCTGATAATGATGTAGACAATGTATGTCTACAGACGGGTGAAGAGTTTTCGTCCGAGTTCTTACGTGATCGGGTTGCCTTAAGGAGATTTCCTATCATAAGTGATGCAGACCAGCATCTGCCAAAAAGGTTGGATCTTAATATTAAAGATAATAATTATGAGCTGGTTTATGAGGATCTAAAGCAGGTTTTGGGGCTAAGGAGAACAGATTCTGATAATAACTCAGATTTGTCCGATGTTGCTTTAGCCAGAGGATATGCTACTGAAATTGACAACAGGGCTTACCCTAATAATTTGAACAGATACCATCGTGAACTTGGTGGTTTCAGACAAGCTTCCGATACATTTTCCAATCAAGTATCAAGTAAATTTTCTGAGGGAAATGGTTGTGAGCAAGTTAATTCGGGATCAAATACTCCATCTATTTATGTCATTGAGTCTCCTCATTCATGCCGTCCTCATGGATCAGTATTGTCAGATGGTTCTTTCTATAAGAAGATAAAGTTTTTGTGTAGTTTTGGAGGTAGAATACTACCAAGGCCAAATGACGGGAAGCTCAGATATGTGGGTGGAGAGACGCGGATAATTTCAATCAGGAAGAACATCACGTGGGAGGAACTTATGAAGAAGACTGCTGCTATTTGCAGTCAAACTCACGTTATAAAATACCAACTTCCTGGGGAGGATCTTGATGCTCTTATATCTGTTTGTTCAAATGAGGATCTTCATCACATGATCGAGGAGTATGAAGAACTTGAAAGAGCTGGAGGCTCTCAACGATTGAGGATTTTTCTCATACCTTCAAATGAATGTGAGAGTCCAAGTTCTAATGAAGCAAGAGTCAATCAGCCAAGTGATGCAGATTATCATTATGTTGTTGCTGTTAATGGCATGCTGGATCCAAGCCTGCGAAAGAACTCCAATGGGCCAAGTTTGGCATGCCATACTAGCCAGTTTGGAAATACATCTGATTACAACAGTCTACATTTCCATAGAGAATCATCTACATCTACATTTGCTTCAGAGATGAAGGATTGCTCCCCAACCTCTCCAAATTTGGCAGGTATACTCTCAAAACCTGGTCCTCAGTTTTTAACAGCCCTGAAGGTAGCAGGCAAGTCATTCAATCAAATGCCTCATTTATCTCCCATTTTCGAACAGTCCAAAGATCCCAATTTACAGATATTTATAGACAAACCACATAATGCTATTAATGAAAGCATTAATCCCTTTGTCGTGGAAGAAGTTCCACGTGACAAACCTTTGTACGAAGACAACACCAATTATGTTGATCCAGTTGCATACTATAAAAATTTTGCACAAGGGCCTACATGTGTGAATTACCAACCTAATAATCAAAATATAGTGGAGTCTGACCAGATCAGGAAGCCTAATGAGAATCTTCATCTTCACAGACGGATCAAAAGTAATGAGTTAGTCTCTTCTGCAGTATGTAATCTAACTAATATAAATTTTGAGAGACCTTTGGTTACCAATGAAGGTTCGTATCATTTTAACAAGATTCTCTCTCATCATCATGAGTCATCAAGTTTATTCTCAGAGTCTGATTTTGGAGAGGGATCTTGTTACAGAATGTTGCATGCCTGTTCTAATTCGACACTTAAGGAGAATGATGAGAACTATAAAGCTCCCTTGCAATTTCCTCTTGGTGTAAAGAGAGACAACTTGCCATCACCAAAAAATTCAAGTTCTTTAGAAGAATGTTCCTTACAGCCTGGAGAGATAATTGATAGGAAAGAACACTTGTCTAAGTATCAAAATTTTCCCATTTTCGGAAGGACCGATAGTTATAAGAGAGTGTCAGAAATCGCTAAAGAGAGGTTGCAACGTGCAGATAAAAGCAATGATTTCTTTGATGAAAATATTGGAGCTATGTCACAAGACAATGCCATAGATTTAAAACACATACAGTACATCTACTCCCCACATGGTGTTTGCTCATCTTCACCAGATTTACAAAACAGTGAATGCGATGTATCTACTGCATCATTTATCCCTTTAGAATCCCCAAGAAACCCGAGGGGGCAACCACATGGTCTACCATTAGACAGAACTACTTCTGAGTTATCCATGAGGAGCCAAAAATCATCCATTCATCACAGGTATTCTATGTCAGAGACAAAAGACAGTCAATCACTTCTCCCTGGTTCTTTTGAGTTACGACATATTGAATCCCTTACTGACAAAGAATCCACACTACCTATCTCAGTAAGTATATCTCTTTTGAATTCATGGAATCATCTGCAAACTTGCATTGCATATAATAATGACAGCATTTGCATATTGCAATTCAGTATATGGACATGGACTTTTCTTCCTTAAGGGAGGTTGTTATCCCTGTTGAAGATCCTGCATACTACCTGCATGAAAAGGGAGAAAACACAGTCACTAAGAATCAGTCTTCAGAATATATCACTGAATTTCGTGTTAACAAGCTAGTGCCAGAATCAGTGACTGTTTTCAAGGGACCAATGGATATTTCTTCAGGTATCCAGTCATCCTTAAAAGTTGTCCCAAATGTAGTTGAAGAGGCTGAAGTTGAACCTACATATCCTGAAAAGAAAGGGATAGAATGTGATAATCCAGAATCTGAAAGTAAGGTGAGAATCTGCACATGAAGTTGCTGTTTATGGTTCAGGATAACTAATTATATAATTGACGTGTGATTCTTGCCTACGTTGATAGCATGCAAAATCTGATAGTGGAAACTTCAATGAGCTTACTGGTGGTAGAGCAACTTCTGAAACAGAAGCTGAAATCTATGGTTTACAGGTGAACCTTTTCAGTTTGGTATATAGATGAAAATTATTATTTCTATCTTCAATTTTATCATGAATGCTCAAATTTCATTTAATATTACCTTGTTTGTAAAAATATTATTTCTTTCTCTTGCCTCTGTTTTTGATGAAATGATCTGCTGACTATTTTTCAACACAAGAATGAGTATAAATGTTGTGCGATCTAAATTGTATTGATATTGAATTTCAGAAATATGATGTTTACTACTAAAGAGTGATATTTAAGTCTTGACTACTTGTCTACTCTGTTTAAGGATAGATAGTTTTCTCAAAGCTATTGTTTTGTTTTGCCTATGGATTCTGATACTAATACAGTCAGTCTTGCCTATTCAGTTTTTTTTTTGGGAAGGGCATTAGGGGAGGGATGTGTCACTGGTCTTAACAAAATCAGTAGGTTCTCAGAAAGGTGGTTGGACAGAATTGTTGGGGAGGGGCTCGTCTGCTTAGCCAGAAAAAAACTTTGGTGGATTCGTTATTTTCTTAAGCTTGAGAAAATTGGCTTTCCTTAAATTGTTTGTTGTTATTTGAATCAAACTGTGTTTCCTTTCATTTAGAGGTGTAATGATATTGACTTAATTGGCCAACCTGTTTAACTTTTTGGCTGGATTTTGTTTCCTGAGGTTTTAAAAAAAGCCTTGCATTGAAAAGGAGGTTGCTCATTGTCTGCAAGGTCATGTTTAGGCCAGAAAGAATGAACCTATCCAGCCTAGCCAGTCTCATTTATCTTGAAATTTTGTTGAACTGTGTTTTCATGGGGTTAAAAAGAACCGGCCCTACCTTTTCTATCATGAAATGGTGAGGTCATGCCTTGATTGCTTTCTAAGGCTTGGAAAAATGCTTATCTTAGCCATAAAAAGAGATAGCTGGCTTGAGCTGGTCAAGGCCCATTTGCCTGATAAAACCGTAAAGAGTGGAGCTGTGTTTCCTTGTATTAGAAAATAAAATTGGCTTGGCTCAAAAAGTTTGTTGCCACTTGCCCCTTTACAGACTAGTGGCCAAACTGAATGAGAAGGTTATATGTTGGAAACTCAGAAACTGTCTGACCCTATCATATATGTGTTTGTGTGTGAACAAATTATATTTTCATGAACATTTTATATTACAAAATGGAATCAACATAGTTATAAATTATATTGCTGTTGAGTGTTAATCACTTGAAAACTAATGTCTTCTTTCTTCTTTCGTTCTTTCTTTTTTTTTTTAATTTTTTTTTACTTTACTCTCCTCGAAGCTGTTTTAATAGGATTAGAAGAAGGCAAATCAAAACTCACATTTATCTATGTTTAAACTAGTGCTTCATATGTAAAAATGCAGAATATTGAGAATGATGATCTTGAAGAACTGCATGAGTTAGGATCTGGAACATTTGGAACTGTTTATCACGGAAAGTGGAGGGGAACAGATGTTGCAATTAAAAGGATAAAAAGTAGTTGTTTCTCTGGTAGATTGTCAGAGCAAGACCGGTTGGTAGGTACCCATAAATTATTAGTTAAATTAGCCAGTATCATTTATATAGTTTACCTCTCAAATTTATGCTGTACAATTGTCTGTATAAAGTTATGCATGGAGAATTACCTCCATGGTAAATTAGGAAATAAGTTTCATTGATTTGGAAAATCTCATTTTTCTGGACATTAGGGTATATTTACATAAAATCCTCTTGTTTGACAATGTTTCTCTGCCATATGCTTTCTGCATCTGTTTCTGCAGACTAAAGATTTTTGGAGAGAGGCACAGATTCTGTCAACTCTTCACCATCCAAATGTTGTGGCATTTTATGGGGTAGTTCCAGATGGTCCAGGTGGAACATTGGCAACAGTAACAGAATATATGGTGCATGGGTCACTGAGGAATGTTCTCATGAAGAAAGAGAAGTAAGCTAACCTACACATTAAACTTGCTAACTGTTAACTAGATTTACAATTTACCACTCTTGCTAAGTTATGCTTTGTGCAGAGTGCTTGACCGTCGTAAAAGGCTGATGATTGCCATGGATGCAGCCTTTGGGATGGAATATTTGCACTTGAAAAGGATTGTTCATTTTGATTTGAAGTGTGATAATTTACTTGTCAATCTCGGTGATCCCGAACGACCTGTATGTAAGGTATTTTGTAACAGAAACAAAAAAAAAATTCTTGTGATTTTAAACAAGTTATGGTCCTAAACATTTGTTTTCATGATAAATGAAAGGAAAAGTTCAAAACTATGGGAGTCAATTTACTGTTTTATATTACTTGTTAAGTTTTTCCAACTATTGTTACAAATTTAATCCCAATTTTTATCCAACTTACATACTAAATATTAGCTTTTCTCATTTTTCTATATCTGTTTAGTAATCTGTATTTTCTGGATATCTTTCATTTTTCCCTCTAGAAATTCTGTTGAAAGAAAATTATTGGAATAACCTCGTTGGTGGATGTCTGATATATAGGTTGGAGATTTTGGCCTATCCAGAATTAAACGCAATACACTTGTTTCTGGTGGTGTCAGAGGAACCCTTCCATGGATGGCACCTGAATTACTGGATGGTAACAGTTGTAGGGTATCTGAGAAGGTCAGAAACTTATCTGTCTTTCTGTCTTGTTTACTTTGATTTTTACCGAGCACTTGCAGGTGGACAAAGCATTTAGTGTCTTGGAGAATGTAATATTGAATGCCGGTCTATTCTTGTTTCTTGTAGGTTGATATTTTCTCATTTGGCATTGCAATGTGGGAAATCTTGACTGGGGAAGAACCATATGCTAACATGCACTGTGGCGCTATCATAGGTAAGGTTTTGTTGCATAACTATAACCTCTAGAGATCTTTTCTGTCATGAATGTGGAAGTTGCTTATTACAGGCATCTGTAGTGTATTTTGCTGTTTAGCCTTAATAAACACAATGCTTATTGTAACCTGCCCTACACCCCCACAACAAAAAACAAAAAATAAAAAATACATTTTTGATTTGCTTCCATTTCAATCGTCTGTTTTGGAGAGGAGGGGGGTGGGGGGTTGAACCACTTTTCCGTGCTAGAACATATGTGAAGTTAATTTTTTTCAATAAGGGTCTTGGTGTATAGGGCATCACAATAGAGTTATGATATTCCAACAAAGTTGGCACCCCAAATCAATAGTAAACAATTTTTTTACATTTGATCCTTAAAACTTACTAGGAAGTATCAATTTTGCCAAGCAAAGATCCCAAAACTTCATTAAAATTGTCCTCCTGATAAATTATTATAATATACTTATTAGGTTAAGTTACCCTTTTAGTTCCTATAGTTAACAACATCCCATTTTAGTCTCTATGCATATCATTTTTGTTCTCTTTTAGTTCTTGTTGTCTAATTTTATAGGGACTAAAAAGGAAAGTTTATGAAAATATAAGGACTAAATAAGAAAGTTTATGCAACTATAAGAACTAAAAAGGAAAGCTTATGTATATAGAGACTAAAAGGAAAAAAAAATGGTATGCACATGTGCTAAAATAAAAAAATTTAATTATATAACTAAAAGATAAGGTTTATGAAACTATAGGACCAAAAAGGTAATTAAACCTATTTACTATAGCTTTTATTCATACACGTTTCACTTGTTCTTTATTAAAGTACTACGTATAGTCATTTTATCGCTCTCTTATTTATATCAGCTAGATCATTATGGGCTTTTGATGCACCATTATATGTTCTTCCTTATTGACATCATAAGAAGTGGAAAAGAATAAAGATACATTTGATTTGCCAAACAAGCCTAGCCATGAGAACCGTATCATTCTTGTCCTAAGAGAAAGATACTCCATGCTATTGAACTTGTATATGCTCCAAGACTTGGGGTCTGTTTGAATAAATTTTTCCAGAAACACTTCTAATAGTAAAAAATAGGAAGGAAAAATAAAATATAAGTTAAAATTAGTTTATGTATAAATTAATTTGTGGGAGTTTTTTCATATTAACTTCTTCAAAATCTTACTTTTAACTCATGCATAAGCTAATTTTGGCTTATGAAGAAATTTATTTTGATTTTTCTTTTTATTTTCTTCTCCTAGAAGTGCTTTTAGAGAAATTTATCTAAATAAATCCTCATAATTCTTTTGTTTTTGACGTTTAATCTGAGGAAATTTTCTTGCAAAGCTTTGTTTGAATTCTATTGATGAGTCTGTTTACTAATTATTTAATGAAGGAGGTATTGTCAATAATACGCTCAGGCCTCCAATTCCGAAAAGATGTGATCCTGAGTGGAAAAAGCTGATGGAAGAGTGCTGGTGTCCTGATCCCGCAGCCAGGCCAACCTTCACAGAAATTAAAAATAGACTTCGCAACATGTCAGCTGCACTGCCAAAAAAGAGATATAACATTGGTCGTCGATGAAACTTATCTTGTAAAATGAATGCAAATACAAAACAAGGATGAAAAGAATTGTTCAAGCTGGTTAGCATTGTTTGTATAGAAACAGTAGTGTAGAGGTATAAGCTGAAAATGAGAAAAAATCATTTATTTAAATGCTCACTGGTCTACACTTCGTTATATTTTCCTTTACTACTAGCCCTTGTGTATAAGTGACTAGTGACTTATCCTTAAGCTATGTTTGGATATGTTAGGATTGGTGGTAGAGGGTGGAATAGAGAGGGATAGAGTAGAGGGAGAAGTTATTCCCATGTTTGATTTGTAAAAGTAGGAATAAAAAACAATGAAAGATGAAATTTCATTCCATTTCATTGCTTGATCCCTCAATTTTCTTCTCCTAAATTTAAGATGCAACGAAATTTTTAACTTATAAAATGACTATTTTAGTGTCTTAAGGATAATACATTATAAGAAAAAGGATAATGAGAATTAGATAGTTATAACTCAGTTTTCATTTTCTTTTCTGAAACAATGGAATGAAATATTTATTTCATTCCATTATAAAATATCTTAACAATGGAATTATATTTTTATTCTATTTCAATTCATTTAATTTCATTATGTTTTGATTTATTTTATTCTATTTTCTACTATTAACATAGCCTAAAAGTCTCCTAATGGATAGTGAATATATCTCTATGCATTTATTGTTGTGAGGGAATTTAGATATCAATTAGATACATCTGCGTGCCAATCATCCCTATAAGAAAAGTTAATGAATAGCATTATTTTTAAGTTATTATAGTTAACAAGAAACGAATAAGTCTCATTTTTTTAAATAAATTTTTGTATTAGTTATAATTTATTAAAATTTACAAACGTGGTAAGTTCATTAAATAAAAAAGTAAGACTCACATGATTATATAATTTTTTAACAAGTTTTAATTCATAATTGGGCATGGAAAAAATATGTTGTCAGTATTTTTTATTAGAAAAAATATCACAAGACATGCAATCTTCAATTGTTTCACTTGAATCCAATAATCATTTTTCAAAGTTTACTAATTGATTTTATATGTAAAACTATAAATAGCTGAAATCTAGAAAGTAGAAGTAAGACTTAATTTGTCCATAAATCCAATTTGATTTCTTGTTGATTTGAACGAGCTTGAATGTTAAAAATGGATCCAATATAATTTTTAGGACAAATTCAAGTTATGCTTTGAATTATCCAATCCATCCTTCATTTTTTTTAAAAATGTATAAATTCTTAAAATAATTGTGTATTTTTAATAAAATATTTTTTTAATAGATAATAATTTGTATAATGAAATGATGTAGATTAGAATATAATGGAATTTAAGTATCATTTCATTGTTTATATATTTTATATTGGAATAAAACAAAATTTTCATTTTACCATTTTGGCAGTGAACGTAATAGAATGAATTATATTTTCTTATTCCTATTTTAATTTTACTTTACAAATATTAATATATAAAATGTCTTTAATAAAAGCATTTTTGAAATAGGTATGACATTTAATTTTCAACTCGTAGGCATCTCTCTCCACCTCGACTTAATTTTGACAAAAAAAAAATAAAAATTGAACTGGTCAAGTGTTTTTATTTGATTTTTTTTATTTATAAAAGTGAGATCAGGATCAAGTTTCATCATTCATGCACTTCGATGCCCATTTATAACGCGGAGAATATTTTTTTATAAAGAATAAAATAATATAAATCTTCTCGACTAATTATGAAGGATTTGATTCTTCCAAAAATGAAAAAATACAGTTTTAAAATAAAGTATACTCATAAATTTTAATTATAAAATTATTAAAATTATGATAAAATTTAAATTTTATAAAATAAAATATATAATTAATTATTATATTAATTATTAATTTTTTAATTAATAATTTATTACATTTTATTCTGTAAAATGTAATTTTCTCGCTGGTAAATTTCCCAGCTATGGTCCAAATCCTAAGCCCACTAACTCTAAGCGTATAGTTCAGCATTTTTTTTTAATTTGTGCATCTTAATAAATACAATTATGTGTTATAAAATACACATCTAATATAATGATTATTCTCTACTTATATTTATTATTATCGTTTTATCTCTAGTTAATATGAAATTTTTAACATAATTTTTCATTTAGGGTCATAGACATTTTAAGTATGAAATTTGTAGGATTAAACATTTGTAGATGGTTTGTTAGTAATTCGATAAGAGGTAACATGATAAATTCAACAACAATTAATAATTACCAAGCGTGTGGTTCAGTAGCAGGGATTGATTCACGCTTAAACAAGGTCAGGATCAAGTGTATGCAGCCGCGTTAAATCTTGAGGCCAGCTATCCCACTTTTTAATGTGCCTCCAACGTAAAGGAGATTAGTCACTACTAACGTGGATAATTCAAAGGAAAAAAAAAAAAAAAATACTAAGCCCACTGTTTTGGCGCAGACGAAACAAATTTTGAATCTTCTATTGGCGGTAAAATTTTAGCCAGAGTCAGAGTCTCTCTTTCACACACACTCATTCCTTCAATTCAAATCAAAGAATACAACGAATTGAAATTCCCCGTGTTCTGGTGTTTCATTCAAATCACGAATGCAATGAACTCAAAAAACCAATCGCCGATTAGGGTTTTCGGGCAACGAACCATCGCTTCAACGTTCCGCAATCTCCCACCACGCAATCCGTAAGTCACCTCTCTTCGATTCCTTAACTTGAAAAAGAATAATAATCGATTGATTTTTTGATGACGCTTTTTTGCTGGAACCAGTTTAGAAGAAAGCGTGAGTAAGCAAGCATCACGCAAGAGCGAAACTAAGCATCCCTTTCTTTCACACTTCCTCCAACCCAAGCCGCAAAAATCACCTCAAACGGTTCCGGTAATTTTTTTTTCTTTTCATTTTAATAATTTTAATTCTGCTTTGTAAAATGAAAAGTTAATGTTATGTCATCAATTGATAATTGATTATTTGAACATGTAGATCAACTTACATCAGTTACATGAGTTGTTTTAACTTGAACAATGATACGAAATTTGAGACCTAATTATTAAGTATGCTGCTGTAGTAAATTTTTTAGAGAGAATTTTGTAATTCAGAATAATTCTATCTCGCTCCAGAAGGATTGTTTCATATAGAAAATACGTTTGGTTTCGTTAAAAAGAAAAAAAAAATCCTCTAATTTTAAAAAGGAATAAATAAAAGAAGTGTGTTTATTTTATTTTTTTTATATGAAATTCTCTAATTTATTTTGAAGGGGAAATCGACGCCTTTTCTGTCACCTCTGGGTTTAAGAAGAGGCGAGGAGGGTGGAGCTGCCAAAGAAGTTGAAAAAGAGAAAATTTGTGGCAGTGGCAGTGATGATAAGGTGATTTTTGAAAGCTTCAAGCATACTGAAGAGGACAAAGAGGACTTCGTTAGTCAAATTGCTTTTGGTGAATTAGAAAATTCAGTCGGTGATGATATTCAAGAGTCAAAGAAAAGGAAAGCTCCGTTTGAAGGTTTGCTTCCTAACAAATTTGACATGGGCTTCCCAAAAGTTAAAATTAGCGATGATTTTCAAACTGCTATTCCAATTACAGTATTACTGCCCGATCCTTTCTTGAATTATTGTTGCACAAATGCTTCTTTGCCTAAAAAAGCACTTATTGATGTCATAAAAAATTTATGGAGCAATCTATTTTGCTTGAAAGAGAAATCTATACCGACAATCTCTTTAAATCCATCTTTGGAAAATCAAGTAGCAATGGGTCTTTGATTTCATCATTTCCCCCTTGTTCGTGTCATGGGCTTTCCTTTGGGAACTTTAGTATGTAGCATGACTTAAGTATTTTGTTTGTTCTCGTAAAAAAAAAAGGTTTTTTTTTTTGTTCAGCGTGAGAACATGTAGATCAACTTAGCACATAACTTAGCAGTTAGCACAGCTTTTAACTGAGACTTTGACAGTTTTTTTTTTTTTTTTTATAGCTGACAACCCCATTTGACTGAATATTTATGAATTACTACCTCTGTACAATATCCATTGATGTTTTACTTTCTTTTTTTAACTATTAGTATTTTACAAATCCAAAGTATTATTCGTTATTGTTTTTCACATATACTCATACTTAACCATTGTCCCATAGTAAGTTATCACGCATAAGATATTAAATAAGGGTATTTTAGTCTGTACAGAAAACTGCAAATCCATTAAATGCTCCTTTTAGTCTACGTGCATTAAACGTCAATAAATATGAAACACGTAATATACAATATTGAGAGGATTAATATATAATAAACGTCAATACAGGGTGAGCTGTGTATTGAGGCTGTCTAATGCTATAACACCTTTTTTATGTGTCTAGGTTTGATAGGATGGCCGCAGTTAGGCCCAAAAATGCTCTGGTTAAAGATTTTATTGGAAGAGCTTAGGATATTTACACTAATTCCCTTAAACACTTGGATGGTTGTTATTCTTCGGGGAGCAGCTATTCAGGCTAAAAGTAGGGTACTGCATTGTATAAGGACGTGAAAAAGAATTATCTGAAAATAGAATATTTTCACTTTTACTCTCTTATCTGTTCTTGTCTTGTTTATTTAGCGGTAGCTTCCTGTCAAACTTGGTGTTGTGATTGGTGGTAAAACACTTAGACAAATAAGAATTGGAAACTTGTTTCGTTTGCCTTGGTTGCAGGCATGATTTTGATCATAACTATTACATCACTATAGTTTTCACTTTTTACCCGAGGAATCTACTGTTATTGGATAATTGATGTGAATGTAATAGTTTGTCTGAAAAAATATCCATGAAGCCATTTACTGCGGTGGTCTGATATTGAATGGACAGAATTTAAAAAAAAAAAAAAACAGATAAAAGAGGTGCTACGTTTCTCTGTTTACAGTTCTTTGAAAACTGCCAACATACAATCATACATATAACTAAGTTTTCCGATCGAAAAATCAAATACTTTTGAAATCTGGATCCTTATAAACTATAAGGACATTCTGGTCCTTTATACATGTTAACAGGTGGAAATGAGAACCAAACTGCACGAAAGCACGTGGTAGTTCTTGGAGGCGAATCAAAGTTGAAGCCAAAAGGACAAATTGGAAATGACTCTAGCAACAAAAGGCCAAGACCTCATTATAATCACTGTACGACTTACATGTATACATATATTTTGTGTTATAGATGATGATGGGTTTGAAATCTTAGACATTACTATTTATATTTTATTCATGGGCAGATGCAAATGGTCGCGGCTGGTGGGATTACGACATGGAAGGTGTTGATAATGAGGAATTGGGTTTCAATGAAATATGGGAGGGGGTGGGATCCACCACACTCGGGGGAATAATAGATTGGCATTGATTTAGGCATTTTACATGAGTAAAGTTTGTACTGTGTCTCTTGCCTTAGCATCGGCATCAATGCATTCATTAACTCGTGTACTCCGTGTAGACAAGAAACTCACCGTGTGTAGATATATTCACTTTAGTTAGTTTACTTCGAGGATATGCTCAAAATGCTATATGCCTTGAGTTATTCGAAAAATAAAATAAGTTAAAGTGAACTGTTCTAATGATTTTTTATATAAAAGAAATTGAAATTCAGCACAGTTGTCTATGGTTACATGTAATTGTCATTGTTGAGTGCGATGACTTTTTAGCATGCTGGATTATCACACTAAAGAGAATCCTGTAAAGGTTATAATGATGAAAAGAAGCATCATGCACTATCTAATCACAAATAATGATGAATAATAGGTTTATTAACTTTTATGATAATTATTTTATAAGTCATGTTAATAGTAATTTTTTAATCGGTTGATATGCATCACTATTACATCTTCTAATAATTCCTTAAAACTTTTCTGATAATCCAAGGAGAAATACTTATTATTAAATATTTTTTGTCTTATCATAATTTATTTAATGATAATTAAAAATTAATTTGTACTTTCATAACTTTTGTTAACTAAACATTATTTTAACAAAATCAAGTATATAGATTTACTAAGTTTACTTATTTTAAAATGTTACAAGTAATATTGAGAGTTTAGAAATGCCGGTAACCAGATTTTATGTATCCAGATTGTTTCCATTCTTGTAAATCAAGTAAATTAAAGAATGTTGCCAGATAAGGATAAAAATATTGTTTTCCTTTTCTTGTCTATTGAATGACAAATTTGGTGGAATTAGGCATATTATAGTTGATACGTTTGTGAAAGTTTTGCACGAGCATGATCAGTGTCTATGAGCCTAAAAATCCCAATCAAACACATTATGTGTGTATGGAATCAAATTTAAAACATGAATCATCACTCTCTTTTCACAATTAATAAAAGTAACAAAGAATAATTTTTCCATCAATTTAATGTTCTATGACTCTTAAAGATATACATTAATACATGTAATGAGGGTGCAAACTCGACCCTTAGAAACTTGAGTGGATCTAGAATCGGAGGCAAACTTTTAAGCAATCTGTTTTAACTTTTAACAAACTTGATATGAATTTGGGGATTTTTTCAAGTCACCTAACGATATTTGAAATGAAAGAATATTCACGTGGAAGTCACGGGTTGGTCTAGTTTGTTTCTCATTGCTCTTGGGTAGAGAGGTTGCTGGAATTCAATTTTGAAAATGACTTTTCTTCTGAAGTCGGCAAATGAGTTAAATTTTAATACAGTAGTAATTACTTCAAGTGTTATACCTACAATAATTTATAAATTAAACTTCTTTTACATCATTCTATTGTCGTAAATACATAAATCACTCAAATACTTTTAAATTTTATAATTTAACTACCTAATTTTTAAGAAATTCTAAATGACAAAGTCTAAATTCATTATTTAACCAACCTAACTAAAGTTTTTCTATTATAAGTTTATGTTAAATATTTAAATAATTTTCGAAAATCGATAACATAAAAAACCAAAACAAGCATTTTACCAAAAACAAACAAATTAGTATATCTTTGAAGATTAACTACAAACACCATAATTATGTAGGGAATAAAACTATAGGTGCATGAATGCATGATGTGATATCGAAAAATGAATTACGATTATCTGTAGTTTGGAAAAACAACTGCAGCGGTGCAGTTTCTTATCTCATCGTTAATGTTACTTTTTTTTTCTTTATATATTAAAATCATCAAATATTAAATTAGATGTATGGATGAGATCTCATGCAGTTTTCTTTAAACTGCAGAGGATCTTAATCCCGAAAAATTGTACTCAGTGGAAAAGGGAATATTGAAATGGGGTCTGACGAGAGAGAGAAGACGTCATGCTTGATGAGGTAAAGAATGTTAATATATGAGAATCTCATTCAATACAAATAGTAAAACCAAAACAAAAGTAAAAAATTGAAAGAACTGAAATTAATATTATGTTTAAACGAAGGGGGATTTAGACAAAAAAAACGAAATTTAGTGGAAAAGAAATAAATATTTGCATTATTTTTTCTGGTACTGTTCGATAACAAAACAAAACAGAAAAAATTAAATTAAATTAAAATCTCCATCAACAATATAGATTTATAAACAAGATACAAACCTCTCACCTTATTTGAATTCATTCAACTTTTATCAATAAATTGTCTGTAAGAGGTGTTTAAAATTGAATCAACTTAAAAAATAAAAATAAAAATTGATGAAAAGTATAAACTAGCTATTTTGTTTGTTATTTTGTTTTTCTAAACCAAATTGACCCAGATCAAACTAAACTGCATGTATATATAATTTTTTTTCTTTCTAAATGCATAGTATATGACATTGACTTATATGATAAAAAAAAAATTATAAAACTATAAACCAAAAGATATATATATTTTTTTACCAAATATACGTGACAATATATTTGATTTAAAGGTTTTTTTTATAAAATTATAAGTTTTTAAGCTAAATTTTAGAGTAAAAAATTATGAATTATTTATAATGTCTAAAATATTTATTTCAAGTATAAATCATATAGATGTGAGAAAAAAATTATTTAATATGATAACTAAAATTATATTAAAAAATATTTTTAGTAAAATAATAATGTTAGAATCTGTAATAAATTTGTAAACTTTTCATTTTATTTTTTACATACAGATCTTAAACAAATGATATAATATTAACTATTTTTAATTAATTTTTAAATTAAATATTTTTTAAATAAAAAAAGGCAAACAAAATCATATCTTAAAAAATTAGTTTTGTTTGTTTTAAGTGACTTTTTTATATAAAAAGAAAAAAAGGAGAAAAAAAAGTCAAATCAAATCGAATCACGAAGACTCTTACTTTTTTTTTACACCTACTTGTTAGTATGTTGATTTAATTTTATTTCCATACTTAAGTTTCTTGTTTGGTTTTTAATCTAAAATTTAGTTTATATCACAATTTGAAAATATTTATTTATTATTGTTAAAACACATAAGAAAAATAGACACCGATCAAGTTCGAAATATTTAAAAGATGTGTTTTTGTTTGTTTTTACCTTAAACTGATAATTTTTTATGTAACTGTTATATCTTTGTGGGTCTTGAAAATTAAAAGATTTTTAAAAATTTTATCTATCCTATTTTAATGCTTCATCGTGATTATTGATAACTATATTTTGTATCAAATTAGAGTCTCAAGCTAAATAAATATTGAATTATTTTGAAGGTATAGATTTAATAATGAGTACTCAAAATAACAAAATGTGGAGAGGATATAATTATAATTTTTAATTATAATATATTTATAAATTTTAAAAATATTAATTTATGATGAATTATATTTATAATCATTAATATTAATTTATATATATATAAAATATTATCCCGTATTATTAAAAGAGTTAATCATCTATACATTATTAGTGTAAAGTTTTTTACACTGACAATCAATCATATATTTTAAAAAACTTTAGTGTAACACAAGGCAGGATTTGAACCCCTGACCTTGCTTAAGCGTGGATCAACCCCTACCGCTGAACCACACGCTTGGAGTTGACAGTATATAAGTGATTAACTGTTATTAAAATACTAGTAAATTAAAAAAAAATTATAAATTTGTGGATGGTGTTTCCCCCCAAATGAAAAGAGCACTAACAACTCCCACCTTCCGCGTGTTTAGTTTGAAAAAACTTACCAAGTCGCTTGGCGAAGACGCGCGTGTTTGGACACTGAAGGCACATTTAGTGTTATTTTTCACGTTTGAACAGCGTCATTTAGAGTCATAAGAGGTGTTACGAGCGTGTTTCCAAACACGCGTGCAGACTATTTAATTTATTTACTTTGAGCAGCCAACAATATTTGATATGACCACAAAATATTAAATAACACAAGAGGAAGAGGAAAAATACGAAAATCATAGCCTGCCTGTGAGACCGACATCAAGGTGGACCGTTATTTAAAAGTGATGAAGCGAAAGTGACGGACGAAAGCGAGTGAATGCTGATTTTCACCTCCATCCAAACGAAACTTGTTCACCACCAAATATTATGCTTTAACTTTACGAACACAAAATTTAATCTTAATTATTAAGAGAGAGAAAATAAATAAAATTAAATAGTAGTGGCCAACATAACTCGTTATTTTACCTTTCAAACTCACTCTCTCTCTCTCTCTCTCTGTTTTTTCTTTTTCTTTCTCCTGCTGAGTTAGCATCCCGAGGAGCGATTCACTGACTCGGTGGCACAGGCGGCGTTTCTCGTGTCGCCACGCATCGTTCGCGTTGCTCAGCCTCGCACCACGCCGCATCGAATCTCAGAAACAATCACGTGATATTCGATCACGTATTTTCTTCGATCGATCACGAGATATTCGATCTCCTTCACTGTTTCAATCCTACTTCAAAAACACACGTACGCACACGCACACGCAGAGTATTTCATCACCGCGTTTTACGGCGATTGTGAGCGAGATCTTGGAGAGCTACGAGCTAGTTTGTTTCTTCGTTTGCTTATTTATTTTTATCGGTTGATCTCTGGTTGTTCCGAGAGAGCTCTGTGTTGTGTTGTGGTTGAAACGGAATTCGGAAGATGGTTAGCGGCAACATTTTTCATTGTAGAAAGAATTCGTGGCCTCCTCAAGAGTATATCAGTAAATCCACTTTACAGCTGGTATATATTATGTAACGTAATTTTAATTTTAATTTGCTTTGTCCTATCTGGTTGTTATGGAGCTGATTTGTTTTGGTGATAACTGATTTCATTTGGAAATTTCGAAATTCGATGGTGTTTTTATTATTTGTTTATTAAGTTGTGCTTTGATTTTGGTGAATTGTTGTCCTGGTCTTCTGATGATGCCTCGCATTTTTGTGATATCTGAAAATTAAGCGTTTGCGTGTGATTTTGACTTTGAATTTCGTGTTTCTTCGTGAAAATACGCTCTACCTAATACTATTAAATGATGAAGAAAAAAAGAAGGAAGAAAGAGAGTGTGAATCAAACGAATATTGTTTTTTAGCTAACGGTTGGTGCTACAGTCGCATGTGTTATTGATAGTTGATTACTGTTGAAGTAATCTTGTGCCCCTTGCATGGTTTTTGCAGTTTGATTATGATAGTTCTGCTCCACCGGAACAAGCTTGGAGAAGGAGATTAAACAGCCATGCCAATCTTCTTAAAGAATTTAGAATAACTTTTGTGGAAGCTATAAAAATGGCAAGTGCTTTTCTCTAACTAACGGTGATTCACTGGTTTAATAATTTTCAAATTAATGTTATTCTATCTGTTCTGATTGTCAATTGTGTTTTAAAATTCCAGGTTCGACTAGGCATTCGAATTTGGTCATATGTTAGGGAAGAGGCTTCTCATGGAAGGGTAAATTCCAAATTCTCCTTCATTTTTTGGTCATTCATTGTTCTCTGTGTGTGGATACACTAGATTAATTTGTTTAAACTTAGGATTCCAGACTTCATTTTGTTGGCCTGATTTATGCAGAAAGCACCTATTGATCCTTTCACTAGAGAAAGTTGCAAGCCATCTGCATCTCAAGGAGTTCCACTTGGAGGGATGGGGTATGATTTGTTCCAATTGAAAGCTACCAAATAATTGTTTGACTCACTAATAACCATTCAAATGGCTAATAGGTTACTATTTACAAATATGTTTATCTGTTGGCCATAACCTTTTTCTTCTTGTATTTATTTGAACATGACTATACAGGAGTGGCAGCATATCAAGAGGATTTAGGGGTGAGTTCCGACAATGGCAAATTATTCCTAGCTCATGTGAAGCATCACCAGTCATGGCCAATCAGTTCTCTGTGAGTTCTATTTTTCCACTTACTATTGACGTGCTATATAATCATCTCTAATTGCATGGATTTATTTCCCTGTGTCATATGTTTGTCACTGATGTGTTCAGAATGTATCATTTGAAATGAATTATATAGAATTATAATGCACATTATTAACAGAATAAGGATAGTTGTTGGAAGGTATATTAAAATATATAATACAAAAGTTTGACAGTGGAATGGTTAGTCAGTGGTTGAGTTGGTTGGTCAGGCTGTTAGACAGTTATATACTTATATTGAGGGTTGGAGGCAGTTAGACAGTTATATAGAAGATGCTGAAATAGTGATGGGAAATCATTGACTCTTTGCATGTAGAACCAACTACCAAGCCTTATTTCAGTTGTAAAGGGAAAATCCATTGGAGAAGTTTCCCACTTCTGTTACTATACAGATACACCATATCCCCCCAACCAACCATATTCTCTTCTCTCTCTGTTCTTTATCCCTTTATCCCTGGTTATTCTGTTTCTGCTGAACCTTAACAGACAGAATTTTATTTATGCAAGGTATTTTAAGTGTATGCACATTACGTCAGCGAAATGGCCTTTGTTTGGTTGCTCGGTGAAAAAATTACTTAGACAACTAAAGGAATCTTGGTGGCTCTGTAAACCAGATGAAGAAGTTAACACAAAAGTTCAAATAAACATTAAACTCTTCTAAAGTAAAACTATTTAAATCTTCTCCAAAAAAATGTTTATTTTATTTTTGGAATAAGGCTTGATTTTTGTTTCTGGGATTAGACATGAAAAAAGATTTAGTAAATATTGAACCAAATAGCCAATATTGCAAATTGACAATTTTTCTTTTGAATGCTTTTGTAGTGTCCCAGAACTTTGCAATTATAACAACTATTTTTTTTTAAGTTATGATGATATTGGTATGGATCACAAATTGATCATGTAAAAAAGTTAAGAATTTATCTTAACTTGGAAAAGAAAAACAGTAAAAAGAAGATTGACAAAGTGAGGAGTCAGGGTGCTTCTTTGCAAAAAGAAATAGAAAAAGAAGTTAGTCAAATAAGATTGGAGTTTTGTATTTGAACATTTTAACTCTATTAGTATCAATTGTTATCTAATGAGAATAGATCCCTGAGCTGTGTGCTGAAAAGAAAAAAGGTGTGGAACTTAGTTTCTAGTTTCACTAGTTTTTACTTTGTATGTAACTATGTGTTTTACTTCAAAGATAGTGTTATAGCTTTAGAGCTTAAAACGATAAACCTCTGGTTTTCCCTTATAACCAGAATGATGTTTACTGTTTATGGCAATTCTGAGGTCTGGTTTATAATACAGAATATAAGGTTCATTTACTTTGTTGCAGATTTTTATAAGTAGAGATGGAGGAAACAAAAATTTTGCATCAGTTTTGGCTCCCGGCCAGCATGAAGGTTTAGGGTAAGGTGTCCGTGTAGAAGCTTGGAAAACAATCTTTCATCAATATGACATTCTTGCAACCATATTAAGAAACATTAGTTAGCATTTTTATCAATTTCTTTTCTCGTATTACAATATGATCATCTTTATATCTCAGCAATCAATTAACAAGATAATACTAATCACTAGCAATGGCAAATATCATTGGTACAGTTAGATCCGATATGTCTCTTCATAAAACTATCTGATGTTCACTTGGATGATAATGATTGATAAGTTAATATCCTTCATTTCTACCCAAAAATTGCTTAAATGAAGTTCTGGTTTATATATGGGGGAAAAAACAAAGTTTTGCAGATTGCTTCATTTTCAAGAAAAGTTTCAAACTATGAAAACAATTGTCAGGCTTTGCAGAATGAACATATGATCTATAAGTAATAAGTAAGGGCATAACACAAAATCCTACAAAGCTTTGACTACACTGCTAACTGCTATCCATTTAACACCCAAGAGTAGATTGACAAAAGCAACCAAGTTAGCACAATGTTACTTTTCTGTCTGGCAATGTATATAATCTGAACTTTGGATTCTGCTTAGAGTTTGATTTTTTTGGGTGTGTTTCATATATATATATATATAATATATATATATACTTACCCATGGACTCAAATTTTCATGTTGATTTGCTTTTCAGATCTAGCAGAAAACCTGATGATCAGGGCATATCATCATGGGGATGGAATCTAAGTGGCCAGCACTCAACCTACCATGCTTTGTTTCCAAGAGCTTGGACAATTTACGATGGTATCTTCATTTATATTGGTTCTTCTTTCGCTAAATGTGTATGATCCTCATGAATTCTTGTTTAATAGCTGTTTTCTTATTCTTAGGTGAACCAGATCCAGAACTAAAAATATCTTGCCGGCAGATATCTCCATTCATACCACATAATTATAGAGAAAGCAGTCTACCAGCTGCTGTTTTTGTCTATACGGTGTGTAATTTTCTTTTACTATTGTTACTTAAAGTTGTTTGTCAAAATAATGGAATGGCTCACTTCATTACTATTTTTTTTCACCTTTTTATTGACATCTTATGGTACAAAATATGAACAAGCTGTTGTAGTTTAGCTTCTAGTTGAAAACGTTAATTGGATTTTTCTTATTTATGTCAAATTATCATAACATCTACTATAATGTCCTGAATGAAATAGCAATTCAACTGTATATGTTTGGTCCTCTCATGAAAAATTGTGTCAGAGGTATTGTATAAGGCTGTTTGCTTGTGGCAAATCAGTGGCTTCAGTTTGATTTTGACTCGTTTGACCCCTTAAGATGTTTTCAAGAAATCCTTTTTCCTGTTTTCAATTCATTTGTTGAATTGAACCACATTCCATCTTTTGGTAATCCCTTTGGAAGCCAAAGCTCCCTCTCTGGTCATGTCTTTTATTGGAACTACTGTGCTTAATAAATTTCCATTAAGCAAAGTGGGCAAAGAACATGATATACCACACATTTTCCATATGGTGCATTTGTTTCATATTATTATGTTCATCCATGTTTAGTTTCTGTGTTGTTAGGCTTGTTAAAAAGTTTTACTTGTCTCTTTGGTAGTTGGTGAACACCGGTAAGGAAAGAGCTAAAGTCAGCCTTCTATTTACTTGGGCGGTAAGATATTTTATTCTCAAGTGTTGTTTTCAGTTGTCACAAAAAAGATATGAATGGGTTGAATAATGAAGGGGGAACAATATCTAGGCCATGGATAAATAACCATCAATATTAATTTTCTGCAGAATTCCCTTGGTGGAAGCTCACACTTGTCAGGAGATCATGTGAACGAACCATTCAAGTAAGTTTTTTCTTCTAATCTAATGAGCTTCTGTATAGAATAACCTTTAAACAGTATTTTAACTCCTTTTTTATTTTTAATTTATAGAGCTGAAGATGGAGTCTCCGGAGTACTTCTACATCACAAGCAAGTTAACAAACCTTATAGCTTTATATGACGGTTGGTTTGCATATTTCTCTTTATTGTTTAAATGCAAATGCTTAATAAGTCAAAGGCATAAAGGATCCGAACAGTCCAAAGGTGCTCTTGCTTATCTTTATTAACAAGTTGAGCATGATAAGAACTAGAAAGTTGCCTTTCCCTAGACTATTACTGTTATTCAGAGCTCATTCCCAGCTTGTCTAAGGTATGATATTGAGATCATATGCCATTGAGAAATCACAAATAAACTGTCCTTACTTGTTTAGATCTCCAGACCAAACTACCATGAACCTCTGTAAATTTCCTTTTCTCTAAACCAATATGACTATTTAGATCACTGCCTATGAGAATATTTCCCTTCAAATCTTCCCAAAGCTTTTCTTACAAAATTGCTTCAGAGTTTCAATCCTACTTGTGATGCATAAGTGTTGACAATATTGATAGTCTCCCATGCAACCATTAATTTTGAAGATAAAATTATATATCCAAATCTTTTCACATCTGCGACTGCGATGCTCTCTTTACAATCTTTTCCATAATAATAGCCATGTTTTTTCATCTAACTTTCCCTATGTTCTAAATTTCAAATCCTGTTGAGTCTAGCTCCCTGGCCCTTTCTCCAACCCATTTCTTAATGACACTTGATGTTAATCCTTCTCCAAATCATGGTGTCCACCACCTCAAAGACTTTCTTGTCAAAATACCAATATTCCATGTGCCAAACCTAATCAGTCAATCCTGGAATAGCTTCTTTACCCACATTTGTCAAGAAAAATGTGAGGGCCCTTGCTCATTTTAACATTTTACACCATTTAGGCACCAATACAATGACTATCTCATTAAACACTACACTCAAGCTATACGATGTGATACTTTCAGTTAATGACCTAACATTAGCACACCCATTCTGTCGTGAGCTCTGCTACTTACAACAAAAAAATTCTCCATAAACCTGAAATCAGTAATAGAGGTATAGATATAATGAAAAGAAGAAAGAAAAAATAGCCACCTCCACTACCCGAAAATCCTTGGATACCCACCTCATGTTCAGCTGTCAATATGATTTCCCTCATGGCCTCACCATTACCATTATGGTTATCCAATCTTCTCTAGTCATCTGCCAAATCTGTTAGGCATTTCCCTCACTCTTCTGATCACTTTCTCCACTCTTCCACTCCCTTTTCCTCTTCTCTCATGCACACCAACAGGCTTATACTACTTTAAAGCCCGCTCTTCCTTTTCTTTCC